TCTTGTTCTCTTTTAGCAGAGAGCTACTGACAAAAGAAAACAGATCACATCACAGAAGTAACATGGAGTGGGCATAGGTGCCAGACCAGGGTCCAAATAACCCTCCCTGTTGCTAGTCAGTTTCCTTAACTCAGGAATGCTGAATACCACCTGCAGCCTGACCACAGCAGGAGTCATACAGGCAGCTTCCTCAGTATCTCTGCCCTCCCCAAGACCCAGAAAGGAAGAATATCTTCCATCTTCTGCTAGCCTGGTAAACAGAGAAACAGGATAGAGGAAACTAGCACTAGGAGTCGGTGTGAGGTGAGAAAGTACGTCCCCTGTATCTAATTGTGACTCAAGGTTCAGTCAGATCTGTGAAAGACAATTTGTAACAAGACCTAGGCTAGTGACCCACTCCCTTCTGGGATATGAGGGCTGTTACATGGACCTCATTACAACCAAAATGAATTCTGTATCAGCAGGTGCATACAAAAAATCCTTAATAATTCCTCTAGATGAAATGATATCAATTGAGAGGCCTGTGACAAAGTCAGGTGAGTTAAATAGACACTTGGATTGCCCCAGCATGATTTAAGCTAACCATGGTTTTCATAGCATCCCCTGTGTTTACTTTCAATGCACCTACTAACCAGTTTCCAAACCAGCTGCAATCTACCTGATAGAACTCAGACTGCAACAGCTACATCCCCTGCACGTCCTTCTTCATTTATGTGTTTACTTTATGAATGGCTGGAACTCTTCTCTTCCCATAATTCTCCATATTTACTCTTCCCTCCACCACTCCTCAATGCTAAACATATTCATATACACCCCTTCACCTTAGAAGCCCCTGTAATATTAGTTCCTCAGTGGAAAGAAAACAATTTTGGACTTACCTTTAAATTCTTGATTTTTGCCACCTTGCCATCCACTTCCACGATAATTCTTCCCCCTTCTTTGGTCTCCCTAGAAACAAGACCAAAATCAATCTAAGAAGAAACACTGGCTTTTTTGGTTTAATTTTTAAATAGAGAAAAGAGAAGTTAGATCAGTTCAAGTGCAACAAAATGTTTCCCTACTGCTGTCCCCCTAAGTGGAGAGTCTATCTCTATAAATAGCTGGAAGAGTCAGATCAAGCAGTCTTCTAGCTCAGTGGTTCCCAAACTTTTTGGCACCAGGGACGGATTTTGTGGAAAATGACAATTTTTCTATGGACACGGAGTGAGGGGGATGGTTTTGGGATGATTTAAATGCATTATATTTATTGTGCATTTTATTTCTATTATTATGCAATGTAGTATATAATGAAATAAGTATGCAACTTGGCATAATGCAGAAATCAGTGGAAGCCCTGAGCTTATTTTCCTGCAACTAGATGGTCCCATCTGAGAGCTCCTATGTCTGACAAGAGCAGAGCTCAGGCAATAAGGTGAGCAGGGGGAGCATCTGGGAGCAGTTGTATATACGGATGAAATTTCACTTGCTGGGGGCTGCTTACCTCCTGCTGTGTGGCCTCATTCCTAACAGCCCACAGACCAGTACTGGTGGCCTGGTGGCCAGGGACTCTACTCTAGCTGGCATGTTTTCCTTGAGTGTTAGAATTTGGCCCTGTAGGGGGCGAGCAAGTGGCATGGTCATTAAAGTGCTGGACACTCTCACACGGCCAACTGCAGTTCAAGTACTAGACCTGGTGGCTTTCTCTCTGGTCAAATTAAAATGAATGGAAAAAATAATTTGGTCCTGGAACAACTAATAGTCACCACTTATTGAACACACTCCATACAAAGGAACTGTACACCTGCCTCTCAACTTAAAACAGGTTATGACTGGATAAATACATTGTTAAATCAAAAGAAAATATATTTAATAGATTTAACCTACTGAACATTATAGCTTTGCCTAGTACCTTAAACGTGCTCTGAACACTTTCATTAGCCAGCAGTTGGGCAAAAATCATCTAACACAAAGCTTATTTTACCGTAAAGTGTTGACAATTGGCTGAGTCAAACATTCCAGATCAGAGACCATCTGTATTATGTGTACCACATATTGTGCTTCACCTTGTGCTGTCCTTCTAAAATACCCTCTTCTCATAGCTTTTTAACATAACCTCATTTTACAGATGGAGGTCTAAAACAGAAATTATGTAACTCGTCCAAGGTCACACAGCTAGCAGTGACAAAGCTGGAATTAAAACCTGTATTTGCCTAGCCACAAAGCCTGAGCTCTTAACTACATCTTAGAAATCAGGCTTGGAAACCCTAGAGAGTACGTTGGTCTGATACATAACACGTATCATGTCTCATTGTCTCTGGAATTTTCAGCATGGATATTGGTGGAAAATGACTGCAGTCCTCTCTGTTGAGACCCTAAGAACATACTTCCTAAACACATTCCTTACATCCTCTTAAATTATTGGGTCATTGGAAAAGCATGACTTATCTTTCTGTGCAAAAATGTGTCATAACTTTCCTGATGACTCAACAGAATGAGAACCAAGATCTTTAATGTAGAAGGCTGAACAATGGCCCAATGAAAAAACACAACACTCTGAGACTGACCCCTTGGGAAGTTTCCACATTTATGTACAAAGACCTTCTGAGTACACCAGGCATGTGTATCCACAATCAGAGACTGGCTGGAGGTAGAGCAAGGCATCAAAACCTTGATAGTGGTGCTGTCTCCCTCACTCATGGAAGAAATAAATGTTAAAAGAAGAAGAAAAATCAGACCAGGACTCCAAGATGGCGTCAGTCATACCAGTGAAGGAAAAGAAACTCATGGATGTCAAACTTGAGGAGCTGCCAAGCTGGATACTGATGCAGGATTTTACCCCTAAAGGCATTGCTGGAGCATTTCAGAGAGGTTACTACCGGTATTACAACAAGTATGTCAACATGAAGAAAGGGGGTGTTGCTGGGGTTTCTATGGTGCTGGCCGCTTATGTGCTCTTCAGCTACTGCCTTTCTTATAAGGAACTCAAACACAAGCAGTGACGCAAATACCACTGAAGAGGACCAGCGTGGAGGTCATACACTGAACCAGACCTTCATCCACTTGGCTTAGCACCCCTCCAAAGGAACTTGTTGAGTTCTTTCTTATCCCAGTCAAGAATTCACATCCAATAAAAGATGACTGGTATGAGTAAAAAAAAAAAAGAAGAAAAATCAAGCAAACTT